AATGCACGATATCCGGCAACACTGGAGCACAGGACTGGAGCCATCGCAGTAAGCCTAAATTAACTGCATCTAATTTCATTTTTCATTGAGAAATGGTGCACTGGAAACAACAAAAAGGACACCTTTCGTCACCTACAAGTCAATATCTTTCATTTGGCTGGTCTCTCATCTCCAAAAACTCACCAGGAGTTGCTATGCAGGGAGGGGGAGGAAAAAATACCAGAACGAAATTCATATCTCCCAAAAGCGAGATTTAGTGATCTCCACAGCCCCAGGAAGATGGAGATTCAAATTTGCGGGAGTGATTTTATTTTAAGGGAGGAAGAAGTATGTCAAATTTCGTTCCTGGTGATGCTCTCAGAGAAGAATACGAGACGGTTGAATTGGGTCGCTAGATGGGTTGAAATTTGGTAATGGCTGCTACCGCGCACATTCACGTAATCAATAATGTTGTTTAGTAACATACATTTAGTATTTTTTAAGTATAAATGCAAGGCAGTCTCTGCCGATTATTTGGATTATTCTTAGGAATTCATTTTAATGAAGGTACTTCTTATCTTTAACTGTTTACTTCGTTTTTAATGTGTTGATGGACAAGAGAATATGCTTGAGAATGGTATCGTGTTATTCTTCTTGTTGGCCATTTTTCAACGATGAATAGGTTTATTATAATTTATAAAGAAATTACATTTATTACCAGGTTTAATAAATTAACAAACGTTGCAAAGTAATTAGAGCAACCGAAGATTTGAACTTTCATGATCTATGACTCAATGATCATACTCTCTGACTGCTTTGTGCCCATTGACAATTTGTATCTACTCAAAGATCTATCGATTGACATCTCTTTTGGTTTGTAACGCGGGGGCGGTTTTTGGAATCCTTCTTTGAAGCTCTTCCCCCCATGGTGGTGGACAACGTTGATTCTCATTTTCGCAGGATATGAATTCACTCAGTTTTTTTTCTCTCCTCCCCTGGGTAGGCGCTCCTGAAGAGTTTTCGTAGGAAAGAGATCAACCATGAAAAATATGTTGACATTGTAATTAAGAATTCGGCTTTTTTTGCTTGCGGTGTTCTGTTTCACCATAAAAAGTGTAGTTAGCTGTCGTTCAATTAGGCTTAGAGTGCTTTCACCGTTACCGTCTCCCAGTACTGTCGGATACCGTGTTGAGATTGTCAAATTCAAGAATATTTCTACCTTCGTATTGGCGTCTGGATCTCGTTTTTCTTTCATTTCATGATATATTTTTGTGCTGAGTTCATGAGATGAGTTGATAATAAACCTGTAGTTAGGAATTTTTGATAAATATGGTGGGATATGTATGTAATGGGACATCCCCGAAGTAACAAGATGGCGCATGCCATGGTTTCCACGCTTTTGGATTATATTCTCTCCTCAGAGCTATGCGACATGTTTCGAGGAACTCCAGATAGGCTTAAGGTTCCACGTCCCACTGAAATGGTTAATGAAACTGGGTAAATGGCATCGGCTCGATGCCATTTACCCAGAACTCTGGCGATTGTGAAGCGAAGAAACGGAGGACATCATGGGCGTGTCTTTTTCTCCAGCTGCTAGCAGCAGCTAGCAGCTGCTGCGGAAAAAGACACCTCAAGCAGTTTTCGCTTAGCACAGCTACGTCAGTAATGACGTCGCACCTTGGCAAGCAGTAGGAAGCGGAACTTAGCCGAGTGGAAGATCGCTGGAGTAACTAGAATGTGCGAAGTCAAGATGGCGGCGAAGGAGGAAGTGTGTGTTTTGTACTTGATGGGAGATAGTGAAGGGAGTGAAGAGCAGATTTTAAAAGGTAACTTCAACTGGCAGATGAAATCTCTCTGTAATCCAGCAGGTTTGGTTTAAGTAGGCCTATTAGTTACTACATGGAGTGCTTGGCGTAGCATGGAACCTGTCATAGACCCAATAATAGAATGGTACTCAATTTTCCGCAATTTTTTTCTGCGAAAGATGCATCGTTACCTATCAAGGGCTAATGTTGAAGTACAGGAGTAGTTCTAGGCATAGACTGTAAAGGTGTGGGACCTTTTAGAGGCAAAAGCCCATCTTATAGGTGGACCGAACATCCGAAAGTCAATAGAGTGTTTTGGCCTGACACGAATATTAGAGAGGATTCTGGGGCAATGTTTAATAGCGTACCCACTACAGAAATTGGGAATCTTCTCTTTCTCTTGTTTCTTGGAGTCATCGGAAAACATGGAATAAAGAATGGAATATCTGTTTAAATTCCTTTCTTCTATCATAAACACCAACCTGACCTAACTGAGCCTAGCCTAGCCTAACTTTAGCAGAAGTGTAATTTATCAAGGGTTGTATGCACTTAACTATCTCTGGCTGGCCCCTGTCAATTTTGCTATTATATTAATAGTTAATATACCATTTATATGGATTATTCACTGCTTTCAAAAGCCTTCTTCCTCACACCATATTTGCATATACTAGTCGTTTTTTTAGACTTTTGTGATTTTTATTGACATTGTTAATTCTTCACAGAAAAGGATCTTGATTAAGAAATGGTAGTGTCTATTGACCAAACTAGATTGGCTTGAACCTAAGGGACAAACTGGGGATCCCATGACTTATGAGGTTTCATCAGTTGATAACAGTGTCTTATACTTGTAGAACCAAGTTCGGTCATGAAGTTTCAGCTAAGCTGGCTTTCTGAAACTAAACCGTCTCCTGCTTGGGCTGTGGCTATTTAAAACTACTTTCATTATCAGTGTAGATTAATGCATATCACTTAATTTTTTTTTCAAACTGGGAAGCATGAGAGTTTTTTTTAGTGTCAGAACATCTGCTTTGAATCCATTTTATTGACCTGGTGCAGCCATTACATGATATACCAAATATTGAGGCAAATCCAACCCTCAAATGTGAAACTTTTGCATCATGTACACCCTAACCCCAGCCTTCAAAAGGTTTTGACCTATACTTAGATGTCTTAATCATTTCCCAGAAAGCCTGTTTAACCACAACTTTGAGGCCAAACTCCCTTTTTATGAGATACTGGTGTTATCAACTGAGGAGACCTTAAGAATCACATGACATTTTAGCCTGTCTCTTATGTATGGGCCAACCCAATAGCCAATAGACACTACTTTAAAAGATATTTCAGAAAAATGGAATGGGAGGGGGTGCTGATCATAGACCTAAATGAAGGCATAACACTTCTATTACCTTTCTATTGTTTTGTAATTCACTCAGTAATATACATTAAGTTATTTAAATTGACACAAATATATATAAAAACAGCTATCTGTCCTTTGCTTGCAAGAAAACCAAGCATTCCTCCTTGCTTGCAACAGACATCATCAGCCTACTGTTTTGGATCGTCATACTGGCTTTGCTTTCAGGGAAGGTATGATGAAGTTGTATGAGGAATGAAAACATTGGAAACCTTCCAATGCATTTTCTAGCATTTGCCATCCAAACTTTGTGGTAGACATAACAGGAGGCATTATTTTGGGGTGACCCTTGCATCTTGTGACTAATTCGTGCACACTCTGCTTTGACATGTGATCTGACAATTATATAATCACAATTTTGGGCGATGGAAAGGAGGGTTAAAGGGAGTGTCATCTATGTTGTATAATTACAAGACTTTTCAAGTGTCTGTGACTTTCTCAAAATGATAGCCATGGGCTTGAAACTTTGGAGCCTTGGTCATTGTGTTCATTGGAAATAAAGTCCAATTGGAACTTTCAATTGGAAATTAGCTCCCATTGAAAAGAACAGCATACAACGAAAATGTATTTCAAAAGGGTAGACTGTTTCCGATATATGAGTTGAAGTCTTGTGTGGCATCACTAGGGTTACTGTTATTGCTTTGCTTTCCTATTCTTTACTTTGCTATGAAAATTCTTTGCATATTCCAATATGCAGTGAAAATGGCAGTAAGCTACTAGTACATATCATGTGATGTTAAGGAATGAGGAGAGCATTTGTTTTAAATAGTAATAGGAATCAGCCATCCATGATATGATTTTTCTTTTTTTTCGTTGTTCTTGGCGTGACGATTCCAACAATGAGATGGAAGGAGGGAGTATGAAACATGATGCAATGCATTCTGGTTATTTTGAGAGGCATTCTTCTAAGCATTTTGCCTCCAGTGCATTACAATTTGCTGCAAAATTTTTTCCCAAAAAATAACGGCATTTTGTTACAAAAACCATTGGGAACCACTGTAAATCCAGATACCAGTTTTCAGGTAATTAGGTGCTTATCAAATCCTGAAGTGCACGTCATTGCATTTTGCAAAACTTAGCTGTAACCTGAAACATGTAGTAAATTTTTTTGCTGAATGTTATTTACATACTAGTCCTTGTATTAATTTTTTTCTGAGTATCTTTTATTGTGGAAAAAAGTTAATTTTTTAAATAGTTAAGTAAGTTTCAAATGGGCACAATTTTAAGGAAACAATGTAAAAGTTTTACTTGATTAATATTGTCCAAACTCCTCTGTAACCACCTGAGATGACGAAGAAGCAGCCCTTATTAATCCACATAGTCATGTTTATAGTAGGCCCAAAAGTTGGTACAATTTTGAAGACTTTCTGACCTTGAAAAAGGCTCTGATGTCTGATGATTTTTCTTAACCGGCAAGCAAGTCAATCCTGAGCTCCCATTCTATTTTGAGATCGTTGTATGCAAAAATATATCAGCATGCAAAGTTCATATTATGCAGTAACTGACTATAATTACTTTAGTCAGCCATCTTGAAATTCATGACTGGAGGATAAAAAAATAATACATTTTTGTTCCCAGATTTTTTTTTCATCTTACTATGCAAAACCTATTGAAATTACAATGTATAGTTCTTGAAATGCTACTGACAATTCTATGAAAAATACCAGTCCACTAGGCAGACAAAACATTTAAAAGGCCATTTCTGCAAGATTAAACAAATCTTGTCTCTCTTTGAAATATGATCTCAGTCTGCCATTACTTGGTAATGATTTCTTTCTAGCTAAGGTAGCTGTTTTGAAAGATCATGGCTGATAAAGGTTGATGTGCTTTGGTGGACTAGTTGCAGTGAACAACATTGATGATCGTCTGGTCTTAGTGAGCAATATTGGTGAGTATCTTGTCCCAGTGAACAACACTGGTGATTGTCCAGCCCCAGTCCCAGTGAATAGGGTAGGGAGTGCAACAACGACCTCTTCATCATCGGGTGGGTTCACACAGCCCTTTTGAGGTTTATCACTAAGGAAATATTCAGAGAATGGTAGCCTATAGCAGGTTCTGATTTATTTTTTCAGGATTTCCCTGGAACTATGACAGTATCAAACTTGTGTTGAATCTCTACATGGAGAGGAAAGATCTATTCCAGGATGTCGTCGATGAAGGCAAACTCTCGACTACATCATGCGGCCCATCCTCTAGTCCAAGGCCTGTTCAAAGTCCCACCACAGTCTTGACCATCTCAGAAAGGTGAAACTTTGGGATGAAATTGCTGAGGCAATGTAAGAACATGGATATCCCAGCATCACTGGGATAGCATGTGACAAGAAGTTCAGAAACATGAAAGTGACATTCATGCACACCAAAGATCACAATGGATCCAATGGAAATTATTGTCGAAAATGGGTTCTCTTCCAAGATCTTCCAAAAGGAACACTGTTGATCCTGCCTGCGTTGTGAATGTGGGTGAAGGAAAAAGGCAGCTCTTCACCAGACACACCACTCCAGATAGAGTCATTCATTCAGCAAAATTCTGAGGAACCAGAAATCCCATCCTCATCTGGAAGCAAGTCATTTTCAAAAGCATTTCCCAAAATCCATTCCCAAGGGAAAAAAAGGCAAGAGTGCTCCTCCTGAGTGGGTGAGCGATCTCATTAAGGAGAGGAATCAGTTTCTGAAAGATGTTGCCCAAGGACTTGATAAGAGAGTTGATCTCATTGCAGAAGCTATTCAGGAGAGGAATGAAATCCTGAGACAACTGAATGCGAATATTAGAGAAATATTTAGAAATAAATGATTCAAGACCATGTTCTCACAAGTGCCAAGGACATTTATTCTGAAAGAAATACAAGTTCAATTTGAATTTAGTGCCAATGAAGTTCGTTGCTTTTGTCTTCTGTGCTCAAACCTATGAAACCTCAAACTCTGGAATAAAACATTGATTGCTTTCAGAGATACATCATTCTGGCCTAACATCATAACACAAAGTACCAAGGAAATCATTTTGACTGCTTGACAATTTTTAATGCACTTCACTCTGCTCATTTGGCAACTAAGGTCCTCTGCAGTTTTTACATTTCTCATAGTATTTTGCCATTTTGAATATGCCAAATAACATCTGGGAAAAGCAAATAAAATGTTATAGAACACTAGTTTTATACTATGTTTTTATGCAGCAGTCAAAACGGCAACTCTGGTCCTTCTAGTGTTAAACAGGTTCTTCTGCAACATTAAGCTCCAATTACGTAGCTTACTTCTGTGGCTTTTGCATTATGCTTTGCCGTTTTTGCTTCCCTCGAGCATAAAGTAGGCGAATTACTGGCAGTTTGTCACTGGCATCACCTGGATCACTGTCTGAGTGGGGATCATGATGTTTATCATAGTCATCCTCATCTTCTTCCTCTTCATCTTCCTCCTCTAGGATGATGTTGTGCAACACACAACAAGCAATAATGACATGTGTTGCCAGGATCATATTACTTATGTTGAGATCTTGAAGCCTCCAAAACTTATTTTTCAATGTAGAAAATGCTCTCTCAATAGTAGATCTGCATTTGGAAAGTTTGGTATTGAACAATGTTTCACCTTGGGACAGATGTCCATTGTCTCTGTAATTGACCATCAGCTGGGGTGACAGTGGGTATGCAAGGTCACCTATAATGTGGTGATCTGAAGATGGAAGTGGAACTGTCATACTTTGCACTGCCTGCCCCAAAGCACTTGTGCGGAACACCCGTGCATCATGCACAGAGCCAGGCCAAGCAGCACAGACATCAATGAATATGAGCTTTTCATTACAAACTGCCTGAAAAACTAGACTATGAGAACCCTTTCTGCAGAAATAACTATTCTGACTTTCATGTGGTGCTTTGAACAGTGAGACATGACAGCCATCAATAATCCCAACAATCCCAGGAAATCCATGCTTCATCTCAAATGATTGGGATGTAGAGAGGGCAGCAGAAGTTGATGGCCATTGTATGTGCTCTGCCTCGACAGCCATGAGAGCACTGATCCCTGGAAGTGCAAAACTTTACATAAATGGGTTGGTGGGATAAAGGAACAGGGATTGAAAAGGTTCTGGGAAGGCTAATCCTTGGAGATATCGATAAAAAAGTATCCATGAACAAAGTAATGCTTTTGCTGCCACCCACACCACATGCCATGTTTGGAATGGTACACTACTGCTTTTTGTCCCAAATTGTTTGTTGACTGGTCATTTAAATTCCAATGTGTCAACTTGTTACACATTTTCGGAAAGCGTAAGATGCTGTGATTCAAAAATGGTGCGTTTCTTTCATTAAAAAGCATACATTTTACACTTATTTATTACCAACTCTCAGGGCAGGGGCAAAGCCCCTGGCAGTGAAAAGGAAAAAAAATAAAGTCCAACAGGAGAGACCCATCTGCCTTCACTAACCTATCAGTATGTCATAAGTTTCCTGGCCATTATCACCGTTCTGGTACATCATCTCTGTTCACATTGGTTAGTAGAGTTTTTGAACATCTGGGACAATATTTAAAAATAATAAAGGCAAGCACAGGGTAGTCCAGTCAAGTGTAACAAACTAAACTGCAGTTTTCTTAGGAGTAGCACTTGTTATTAGCTTGGAATTTGCACATGTTCCTGGCATACTAGACCTGACATGACGTAAGTTTTGCTCAAAGTGGCCACCTTTGGCCTTGATTATGGCCTTCATCCTATTCTTGCATTTTTTACACTTCGCCATCACTACCATTGGAATTTCGTCCCAAATACAAACCAAATCTTGCTTGAGATGGTCAAGACTGTGTTGGGACTTTGAACAGGCCTTGGACTAGAGGATGGGCCGCATGATGTAGTCGAGAGTTTAGATCTGTAGACGACAGGGGCCACTCCTCCTTGGTCGAGAACCCTGGCAAATTCTTTCAACACCAGTCCTGGGTCACATTAGCCACATGAGACATTGCTCCACCTTGCTGAAATGTCAAAGGCTCATCCCCGAACAGATCTTGAGTCCAGGGGAGCAGGGCATCCTGCAGGATGGATTTCATGCAATGTCCTAAGGCTCAAGCTCTGTTCGGGAGGAGACTTGGACATTCCAGCAAGGTGGAGCAATGTCTCATATGGCTAATGTGACCCAGGACTGGTGTTGGAAGAATTTTCCAGGGTTTGCGACCATGGAGGAGTGGCCCCTGTCATCTTTGGATCTGAACTCTCTTGACTACATCATCCTATATAGTCCAAGGCCTGTTCAAAGTGCCACCCCAGTCTTGACCATCTCAAACAAGATTTAGTTTGTATTTGGGACGAAATTTCAATGGTAGTGATGGCGAAGTGTCAGAAATTTCAAGAATAGGTTGAAGGCCAAAGGTAGCCACTTTGGACTAAACTTACGTTACGTCAGGTCCATTATGCCAGGAACATGGTGTGCAAATTTCAAGCTAATAACATGTGCTATTTCTAAAAAAAATTACAGTTTAGTTTGTTACACTTGACCTGGACCACATTGTAATTGTTGAGCTTCCAAGAAAATGACTGGCATCCTAGAGCAGTTTGGAGTCTTAAGTGGTTGGAGGTGAACAGGTTAATGAAGAAGTACATTATTTAGGAAACAAGGTCAGCAATGCTCTTTTTCTCCTAAGGAAATATTGGGATCCCAATATGAATACAGCTGATTCTTGTGCTCATGCTGTAGCTTGTGAACAAGTCTTACAAACAAGTTTCAACAAAACCATGTCCCTCATGAAACTGCATTTATGAGTTGAACTTTCTATTTTAATGACTTCCATATGCCTTCAAAAGATGGAATGAAATGAAAAGGAAGTTTCTCTACAAATTCGTTTTAAAGTGTTTTGTTTTGTGCATTAACATTTTTCTGTTGAAGTGACTTGCACACCATGACCGACCTTGCTCATAGATGTTGTGAGCCCCACCACGACTCATATTGAATCGGTCCCCAAGTTCTCTGAAAGAGTCCCGGTTGGCCAATGTCCATACAAGAAGGAGGACTTTGTTTTGAAAGGGCACATTTGATGTGTTTCCTCTAGGGAAATGTCTAGCCAATGTGGACACCAGCGACTGGAAGATATCAGTCTCACAGACTCTAATAATCACAAATTGACCAAATTCATTGTTTGAGATTAAGAAAAGGGAGCCATAAAAATTACACTTGAGACATCTCAAACATCAAACCATTTTTTTTTCTCTCTATTGCTTGTTCTACTACAATCTGTTCTATGTTCCTCTTTGCAATTGATGTATTTTATGTCTTATTAGCATCATTTTGTGTTATTTCTGCCTTTTAGTGTCATTTATGTTTTCCATACCCATCTTCCATTTCTAATTTTTTGGACTTTGAGTTCGTCTTTTCTCTCTCTTTCTTTCTTGTTTCCCGCTTCGAAATCAAAGGTTGAAGGTGAGATAGTTAAAAACAAAAAAAAACTTCATTGAGTAGATTGGCCTATCTGTTTTCAACAAATTTCCTTTGGGTAACTTCAAGAAAATAGTGCCTCCTGATCCTTTAGGCTCACCTCCATTGTTGAACGGCTCATTCGAATATGATTTCTGAAATCTTGGTCGCTGTATCTTGGCACAACAACCTTGACATACTTTTGAATCCTTGCTGATGTTTCAACCTGAGAGATTCTATGGCATGTATCACTTGAGAAACAATATGCTTTTGCCATGCTTTGGCCTATCTCCAAGGAAATATAAACTGTTCATGACCCTTCAATTTCCCTAACCATAATAGTTTTGTAACATGCATGATAATTTCTTTTGGTATGTTTCTGCTCATGTTCAACTTCATCCCCATCATATGATTTCACCTTTAGTAAGGTATTGCAACTGCATTAAACAAGGAATGCTGGAACTCTCTGACTGACGTGAAGAGGATACTTAAATGGTATTAAGATGGAGAATTTTTTGTATGCAAAAATATTATTAGATTTTCATTTTTGAATTCATAGATTCACATCCATGGACATCCATACATAATTTGAGCCTTGAAACAAATGTTTGCTATCAATATTCAAGATTAACACATTCAATACACGTCCTATCATTGTTGATTCAATGTTACGTGCTGCCTGGGATTTTCTCACTGTGGCTCTGGAGTACCTTTAAATAGGCCAACGTATCTATATTTAGGCTAAACCCATACTTTACATTAAAGCCGTGCCGTTGCCATTATAGTATGAATGAGGTTCAAATAAATTACAGATCAATGCAATACGCATTCCTCACAATGAAATAAGACAAATGAATTCAGCACACTCTGTTGGTTTCATCCTCAGCCTGAAGGCGTGAACTGCCAGCAGCAGTTAGACAAAGGTCTAACACATCTGAATCGTCACATATCGTGGGGAAAAGAACCGACGAGGCATCTTGAACGATTTGCAGAACTTCTTCGGTGTTGTCATAGGCGACCTCCTCGATTAAAGACTGGCATAAGTAGAGGACAAACTTGTGATTACATGACATCTCACCATCCAGTTACAATGTTACTGGGGGAAGACATATTAGTAGCGTAGCAGTGAGACCTGCGAGAAGTGTATTTTCTGCTAGCGCTAAAGTGACGTCATGAGATGCTGGGAACCTCAGCGGAGCCGCTGAGAAAAAAGACACGCCCATTTCCGAGCTATGCTCGATCGTCGAAGGTCTTGTCCCGCATGTGATTCTCGAGGGCCCGGAACAAGTGATAATCGGAAGGGGCCAAGTCCGGAGAATACGCTGGATGGGGTTAAACTTCCCAGCCCAATTCCGAAGTTGTCTGGCCAGTCATCTTCGCAACATGTGGACGAGCGTTGTCATGCAGAAGAGAACTTTGTCGCGTTTGGGACGCTCTTTTTGAATGACGCCAGCCAACTTCTGAAGTTGAGCAGCGTAGACGACGGCAGTCACGGTGGTACCGGTTGGCAGGAGCTCATAGTACAACGTTCCTTCTGAATCCCACCAACAGCAGAGAAGAACCTTCTTCTCGTGGAACCCTGGTTTCGGTTCGTGTGGCGGCAATTCTCCTCGTGGAAGCCAATGATTCTTGCAAGTATGGTTGACGTAGAGGACCCAGCTCTCATCTCCAATAACGATTTCCTTCAGAAGGCCCTTTCTGTGCGGACGAAGGAGCAGTGATTTGCAGACACCGACACGGCTTGCTTTGTCAGAGTCGCTGAGCCGATGAGGGACCCATGTCGAGTAAACCTTCCAATAGCTGAGGTCGTTCAGATGGTTGCCAATGGCCATATGGGTGACTCCAAGTGTAGTCGCCAATTCGCGAGTGGTGGCGTTCGGCTTCGTTGAGGGTGTTCTGCAGGGCTTCATCATCGACTGTAGATGGACGTCCTGAGCATGGTCGATCTCCGAAGGTCGTGTCGCCAGATTCCAAGTGTTTGAACCATCGAGACACCGTGGAATAGTGGACGACATTGCCCTTGAATGCAGCGCAGATGTTGTTTGCGGCGGCTCTCGCAGTGTCCTTGGAGGAACTTGTAGTAGACAATGGGGCGAAGAGTTGCTTGTTCGATCGGAGCCATGGCTGCCAACTAATGGCAGAAGCCGCCTTATATACCCTGAGGGCAGAAGCTTCGAGAACATTCCAGCATATACAAATGCAAAGCCCCGCCCATCATTCCTTTGAAAATTTTTATAAATAGTTTTAGAAAGTGTTGCAAGACTTTCTTTCCAACCCAATGAATTGCACCAATATAACAGATGATGAACTTTCAATAAAATAATTTCATGTAAGACACAAGGAAAGTAAAAACTTTCAGCCACCTCTCATGCCCATGCCAGGAGATTACCTTCTCGCTGCACTTCCATTGTGCACGGTTATATCTGTTTGCATATCACATCATAATTGCATTTAATCATATTGGCAATATTTGATGCCAACCATGAAGAGTGCAAGCTGTTGTAAGCATAGGTTTTCCAAGTTCCATTTTGATGCAGGAAAGTTAAATGCAATATGGAACTGCATTCCACTATGCACATTAGAGATGAGGTGGGTCAATATTTCAGGCCCTAGCCCAACTTGTAGCAGCTTCCATTGGCCTGAACCCATCTGAGCTTAACTATCGCTGATCCTCTTCCGGTCCAGCCTGATTCCATCGACCAAAGCCTTCCTCAACCATACCAGCATTCTTCCTTTTCCGGCCCAAGCCCACAAAAAATTATATAATTCATATTTGTTTCCAAACCCAGGCACTAGGGCATGCACCACTTGCTCAGAATCAGCTTCACCCATCTGTGTTCACTCCACGTGGCATTGACTCATTTCCTGTCAAATTAGGCCTTTAAACGAAGAAATACACTTGAGTAGTATCCACAGTGATGCCAAGACGTGCCTTTTCACACCTCTCTCTAAAAGCCCCTTTAGTTAAAGGGCCATTAGATAGTGGAAGGTTAAAGGAGGTTTGCACATTCCAAGATAGAGAGGTCTGTTTTCTCCTTAAAGGACCATTAAGTAAAGGAGGTTTCAGCAATCGGGCCTTATATAACAATTTTTATCCCATTAACCCATTGAGCAGTATGACCATACTGGTATGGTCATGCAATCCAGGTCCCACAGGAGTTTGGCCATACTGGTACATCCCTGCATCTTCAAATTCAAATTTCCACATTTGTACAGATTCTGTCAGTTTGAGGTAAAAAACTGTTAATGTTCATAATAGTAAAAAATTCTGAGCTGTAGCCCATCTGTAAAAAAAAAACTCACCCATGGGGGCATGGCCAGTCAGAAAAAAACTCACTGCTCAAAGGGTTAAGAAATGTATGGCAACAAACATTGGTCTAAGATAACATTTAAGTACTGAGATAAGGTAAAACTTGGCTTGAGACAATCAACACTCACTTTCTCTTTTCTCAATGATGTTGACAGTCCGCACAAGGATCTGTACACAGTGGTAGCAACTGGATGAATCCAAAAAGACAAAAGTGAAGTTGTCATTATGAGTCTTGAGCATATCATGGCACTCTCCTCTGTCAGACATAGAAATGGCATCAAATTCTGTAACAGTATCTCGTCCCCATTCTCTTGAGTACCATGCTCCCCGAATCACATATGGCACTGGGCATGCTTCCAAAACTGCAAGAGGAAAGAGATTGACATAGATTAGTCAAGGCAACCATCCCATCTTAGTACTCACCAAAGACAATTTCCATAATAAAAGCCTAAGTTATCATCATCCTTCTCTTCTTTGCCCTTGCACTGATATAAGGAAACATTCATTCAATGTCATACATCCAAATCTAATGGGGATCAAACAGAAGCAACAGCATCTACCAGTGTTCCCAATCCTGGGCAACAGACCAGTTCATCAGGTGGAACATTGCTCCTCTCAAGACAAAGCTAATACGATAACTTTTAAAACAATTTCCAGAGTTTCTGCTTTTACCAGATAATTTTCTGACCTCCAAAGTCCATCAAGGTGGAAGCAAATCACTGGCAGTGCTCAATTTCAGTACTGCAAAGGCAAGGAAGGTGAGCCCTTTCATTCCTACACCTTTTCTCCTCTTAATCTTGAATATGCATGCTTGGAGATTAGGGTCTGGAATTACCCAAGCAAAAATATTTCTTTTTTCTATTCTGCTGGCAAAAACCTGGAAGAGGTGGAAAAAAATTGGCATACATGGGAATATAGATTCAAAGTTGCCTGAGACAAATCCATGCTTTCAGAATAAAAATCAGATAGTGAAAACAGTAAAGATATTTTATAATATTTTACCTTAACCCTTAACACGTTTGCTGCTGATGATGCTCGCTTCTATGGAAAGGATAACGATGAGGTGCGTCAGTAGTGAACGTGTTAAGCGTCGGTTGATACACATACACTAATGGTCAAAATTGTGAAAACAAAATTGTGTGTGCCTTGAGAAAAGGCAATCTTATTTGCACAAGAAAAATATAGTTATTATTATTTCGCTTCCATTACAAAATTATTTCGATTGCAGTTGCTGACAATGAAGTGGTAGTACTTCATAAGTGACACATTTTCATTGTAATCAAAATGTATGAATTGGGCCTACAATGCAGAGTATATAAAATACAAATATCAATGTGGTTCGAGAAAAGAAGGCTATATAAATTGTTTTATCAAAGATTCTCATACAATCACATTTTTATAGTAGCAGACAATATTCAATACAATAGCTTATTTAATTAAACTATGCTGTTTAAATTATGCTCAATAAAAGATGCACTTCAGCATTTAAAGCATTACATATTAACTGCAAATAATACATTTCTTTTTAAATATTTTACCTGCTGCAAAAGTCTCTGAATATCTTGAACAGATTGAATTATGTGACCAAACTCAAAAAATGACCCCCCTAATCTCTAGGAACCCCTAGATCAAGAGTATGAATGGGCCATATTAAACAAAATGATACTGAGTCCTGAAAAGTGCTCATCAATTCAATTTTGCTTTACAAAATACCCCATCCCAGATCATCACCTGACCATTGATGGTGGCTGTCTACAATCATAAGAAGTTGTGCGCCTCCTAGGCATGATGATTCAATCTAACAAGATGGGATGAAAACACTAAGAACATCTTGTCCAAAGCATCCAGACGCATCTTTATGCTGAAAGTCTTGAAAACATACGGAACCTCCATACCTAAGCTCATCCTAGTGTGGACTACCTACATCCACCCCATCTTGGAGTATGCTGACCCCCCCTATGGCACTCATCCCTAACTGCCTCTCAAACCCATTCTCTCAAACTAATTCAGAAGCGTGCTCTGCATCTCATCCTGAGTCCCAATTACTCCTCTTATGAGGCTGCTCTTGCCTCCCTCAAACTTTCCTCACTGCAGGAATAAATTCCTATACCAAAAACCATGAAACTCCAGTTCTGGAAACTGTGTAGCATTCTTCATTATTCAAAGTACTTATGGAGCTACCAAGTCATAGAATTTACCTCTGAAACATGATCGATTACTGTTTAATCCTTTCAGTGCCACACAGCTGATTCATAGACTAAAAACTATGTATTCCTCCCCAGGCACTAAAACAGTTAATGTTCCAACTCATGCAATCTACATATGGTAGAGTCTTTCTTAGCAATGAGATGTTGACTGGTCAACATGGTCATTTATGATCATATTGCTTAACCTTTTGTTGGGCTGGTTGACCATTATTGTCTATAAAAGGTCAGAAGTGTCACTTGTGAGTCATGACACAAATGATGCACAAACTGCAGAAAAAAATTTAATGGCCTTATTGACCATAATCGACCATAGTTAACAATATTGGCCAGTCAATTGCCATGTTTTTACCTGACCAGAAAATAACCCATCCCTACACACATTACTGTCTGTCAGTTACACTGATGCTTAACACTTTCGCTGCCATACAACCCGCCAGTGGGTCGTACATCCTCTCTTCTCCTAGGTCATATGAACCGCCGGCAGTTCGTACGTTCTCTCTTCTTAGTCATTCCCACTGGCAGGTCGTTTTGCCTAATGCAGTCTAGACTCTCGAAGGATCCTTCAAATTTTAACCCATTCACGCCAAGCGACTGCAGAACGCTCTGGGTTTAAAAACGTAATATTATGGTTCCCTGCATCAATGGGTTAACGTGGTCTCTTGATGAGGTCAAATTTAAAAGAAACATGACAGTGTTTCTGGAGTCATTTTTAAATTAAAAATTCACTATGAAAATATATGCTTACAATAGAAAAATGAAAATGACTTCTCCCACATGTCTGTGCATTTAGGACCTATCATGTTTGAACAACATATGAAAATCAGAATTTAAAAAAGAACATGTGGAGTGATTATATGTAATTTCTTTTGCAAGTTTACAATGAAATACAAGAGAAATCTGAGTCATTTGCAGTCTGAGTATTACATTTTGAAATTCCGCTTGCAGTGCTTTGTAGTGAAACAGTTGAGGCACATGAAAGGCTTCTTTGGACAAACAGAGCAAAATGTTGCCACCTTCATTGTTAGTTTGTCTGCCTTCCTGGAGCCCTTGAGTTTACTATTTTCATTATAACATAACATTATGTACACCTTTTTCTGATTTTTCTGTTTCTTTTGTCTTTGGCCTCCGTTTGTTGCAGTTCATGATTTTATCTTGCAGCCGCACGTGCTGGTCCTGTTTCTTCCCCAATTCCAAGCATACTTTCAACAATATTTTCTCTGAATTTAGTTATGGTCATTTTTTTGGAATTAGGTAAAGATCTGTAGAGAAAGTAGGAGTTCACACTGGCTGTGCCGAGGAGCAGTTCCATAGCCACTTTGTGGTACCACAACACTGATTTCCTTAGGGTTGAGGAATAACTGGATAACTGATCCGAAACATCTACCCCTCCCTTCCCACCATTGTATTCCATTATTATTTTTGGCTTCTTGACTTCCAACTCCCTGCCAGTTCTTTCAACTAGTCGTCTCAATCATAGAGTGTATATACCTGGAGGGGGCATGGGCGGACGCTCCAATCCGTCCGCCATCTTGGGATTGGAGAGAATGGAGGGAGCCTTGAAATGACTTTGTGTTTTACTGTCTTATACAACTTTGGCAAGGCCAAATTCATATTCTTGCTTGTATAGGCGTAGTTCGGCTAGAGGTCAGGCCCCTATGAACTCGGTATCCTAAGGTAGACCCGTAAGGGCTGCGACCTAGGTCGTCTTAGGCCAAGCAGTTTTGTCTTAACTCAGCGTCTATAAACTTGTTTACGTTTGAGAACTGCTGTTTTCCGTGTGGCACAGATGCGTCGATTCGACGTGAAAATTGGGTGCAAATGTAGATGGAAAGGGTATATGCTATCACGACCTCCATGCACGTGGCGGATGCATCAACGTGATGCTGGCCTATGTACAGTGCCCGTAACTGTCTCGTTTCGTTGCGTTAGCCTACTCTGTGCTGAATAAGGCGATATCCTTGGGAAACCTATATCTTAGGCATCTTTCCCATATTTTCAGGACTACTCCCAAACCTACCTGCAATTTAACATAAAGAGACGTCACAACCATTCATGGACTCGGTATTATTATCTGGATTATGTGCAGTGCAGCTTACAGACTTTGCCTATTGCTTTACAGGCCTATTGCTGCTCATGAGATTTCAGGAACTACAAGTATTAAAAAAAAAGAAATTGATTGGTGTGTCTAATTTAATATGTTTAACCAGTATGTTGCCTTCTTAGAAAGTACATGCTGAATGTCTTGCAGAATTAAATTAATACCTATTTCCATTAAGGCTTACAGAGTTAGTTGCTTTTTCTCAGACCCATTCTTTTTTTTTTGGTATTGAATTCAAATGCCCACTGTAAAAAAAAATTTAAAAATTAGGCAGTAAATATAATTGAGAATTAGAGGCAGAGGTATCATTTGAGTTGAAAATTGTTCAGACTCCACAGGTAGAAATATTTTTTTGATACACCTTTCGTGTTTCCAGACCTATTTTAAACCTGCATCCCGTCAACTCTCTTCGGGTGTGGAAAGATCTAATGAAAAAAAATCGCAAGATTTTTTGATAAACCTAAAAGTTTGTGCTCTCTATCATGGAAAGTTAAATTAATCTACTTTTAAATGCTATGTAATGTAAGTCTAGGCTGCTTTGATATTTAATGATCCATTGGACTTGAAATATTTGAGGTAGTCTTTAATTCATTTCAATCCTTCAAAGATCATGGAAAGTTAAATTAATCTACTTTTAAATGCTATGTAATGTAAGTCTAGGCTGCTTTGATATTTAATGATCCATTGGACTTGAAATATTTGAGGTAGTCTTTAATTCATTTCAATCCTTCAATCAGTTTTTGGTTATCATAGTTTCCTACTTAAGGACATGCTCCATTTCCTGTGAATAAGATCTCTATATTTTTTTTGATCATAGAATACAATTCCATGGAGTCATAGTGGGAGTGCCTTGTGAAATACTAATACAGTGGTCATCCAACTCTTTTGAGAAGAGCAGAGTATTCACAAAATTCTGTTGCTAGTCCATAAATTCTTTGCATATTTGAATTTCTGCATGATTTGTCAGTTATATTTTAAATGCAATTTTTCAAGGGAAAGGAACCATGACATACTTATGGATAGCCCAGTATATTGAATTATTGGCTCACTCATATAGCAATATAGTATTTCAGTTTTTCCCTTTGATATTGAGGTACAAATTTATTATAATCTGAAGAGCTGAATGGGTAAACG